GTGACATAATGGTTGACAAATTAGATGTTGGCAAGATATGATTAGTTGAAAATTTTGCCCGAAAAATGTGACATAATGGTTGATAAAATAAATGTTGGCAAGATGTGATTTGTTGAAAAAGTTGATCGTGTTTTAAACAGTCCAATGATAGGTTGTCATGTGATATTATGTCAATAATTATATCAACAATTATGTTCATGTAGCATGATTCAAAGAAATTAGCAAACGAAGTACAAATATGATCTATCATACTGCCTAGTGATGACCATATCATAGAGATCAAAACCCTAATCCCCTTTTTGCCAAAGCAATAATAATCAGAATGAAAATGAAAATAAAAATAAGTAAAGTGCGCGCACAAATTTATCTTGGATCGTCCTTTATACTAAAATTACACCAACTTGTCACAATTCACTATAGTAGAGAAGAAGGGTACTTTCTTTTTCGTCTCTCAGGAGCTCCAAAAACTCCGTCTCTTAAAATTTTTTACATGGTAGGAATGTTAAGACAATCTAATGCATGTATGATAACAAATATACCACTAAGAAAAGAAAAAAAATCCCATGATGAAGTGTGTACACATTAGAATATTAAGTTGATCCGTGATTTAAAAATAAGTATAGAGTGTTAAGTTTCGCACAGATGAATACGATATTACATGCCAAACATGACATTAATGAGGAACGCTACAAAATAAAAATCCTATTTGTCCATCAATATTTTTTCTCTCTTAAATGAAAATAATAAAAGATAAGGCACAAATTTAATTCATCTCCCAATTAACTTAATTTTTCAGTTGGAGAATGTGTGTGCAGTACTGCATTTTTCAGATAATAGGCCCCATTTCTGATTTCAGAGTGGAAATGCAAAAGAAAATCTGCAATCTCCAAGAGACAGAAAAGCAGTATGATTTTCATGGGAGAAATGTTAGATGTACATGACAGTCCCTTCACATGAGGGTGGGGTTCGTGATTTTAAAAATCGTAGATCCCATCTCCAATATGAGGGGACTGTCAACCCGAGTGTACACAAAAGTGTGTACGCTCAGGTTAATTCTTTTGATGGAATATTTGCAACTTGTGAAACAATGTATAAAAGTTTTAAGATTAAAATATATTGTATTAACTCTTGGAATGCATAGATTTTTTCTTGAACATGTCGAATAAATATAAAAATATAAATTAACACAAAATGATTTGAAATACCCCTTTCAATAAATTTGACAATTTTAAAATGAAACTTCAAGTCTTATTATTGTATCAGAGCTCGTGAACTTCTAACGAGCAGTTTGATCCGATTAAGGCTCAAGGAAGTACAAGAATCATCTTATAGGATATATTAAGGTATACATTCCATATCAAATAATTGTAACACTCTAAAAGAAGAAAGACGGGATCAATTAACTATTCAAAGAGAACTTAGTCTTCAAACACTCTTTCAAAGCCTTGCCATACAAAACTAGAACATCACTCAATATACGACGCACATAAGCTCATACTTTTTTTTTTTTTTCCAATTTCTTCTTCTTTTTGTCCTTTCACCCTATTCAACAATGAACTCCACACAACAACCTCTTTTCCCTCAAAGCTAGAATATTCAAACCATATGCACTTTCTTTTCTCTTCTCTCCCGAACACTTTGTCGAACTCGATTGCTCTCACGCAATTGACTTTGATCACACATATGCAATATCTTGAGGCATGTACCCTTATTAAACAAGTTTTCTTTGTAAAAAAGGAACTGGTCTTCCCTTTCATTTCTTCTATTGTGCCTTTTTTCTTTTCCTAATTGCAATGGTGCTGCACTCTCTTTAGGACGGTGATTGTATTTAAAATGCGCCATGTCGTGTTGGACTCCGAGATTCCTTGTTCATTCAAGAACATGTATTCAACAAGTCACGTGTCGTAGTCTTTACATATATATGTCATGTCTGTACAACGCAGGTTATTGTCATGTTCCACGATGTTATATTTACAATATTAGCCTTAAACTTTCTACCAATATTTCTTTTTACTCCACTAATTTGGGTCAAATCAAACACCTATTTCCATATTGACCTTTATTATATATCGTCTATGTTGTAAATTAAATACTATTTGTGAATGACATTTGTATCATTACAATCCTAATTAATATACATAAAATATGAGACTTTAATTCTCAATATAATACACTTTTAAGTTTTGTCTTTCTCAATTCTCCTATTGTTTCGCGCGAATTGTCGCTAACAATTAAAAAATGGATCAGACGATTGTGTAAGGGACAAAAATCTCTTGAAACAAAGTCCCAAAAATGAGGTGCTTTATTAATGAAAGTTACAATTGGAGATAAGAAGAATGCCTCCAAGGAGTGCAAACACACCAGTAATGAAAATAGATAATTAAAAGTTAATATAAGAGATTGAAATTACATATTCTCCGTTTGAGAATGTTTTGATTCAGGATCCTTTTTTCTATATCTTCTCTTCTTTTTATACTTCATTGAGAATTTCTTCATGACAAATTGCTTGAAAACTGCTTGTTTGCTTTATAACTACCCACTTTCTTCATGATGACTGATTTGTCGTGGAACAGTCGTCTCTAACTGTTGCTATTACTTTCGTCGTTCAACCGCCTACAACTGTGATTCTTAGATCATGAGGTGTGATAAGGTTGCTCAATAACCGCTTCAATAACTGCTGCTCTGGATAACTATATTACTTCTTGTTTTCTAAGATCTTGGGCGATTCGAAGGTTTGGGCGAGAATATGCTCGTTCGCTTTGGGCGATTTTAAGACACTCTACTTGCTCAGATCTTGGGTGTCTTGCAAGTTTGAGCGATGATAGTACCTTGTTCGTGGGCCTCCACTGCATTCATTAACGGTCCTATTTGGGCCTTCATCCTGAACTTCCTAACTGGATCTCATCCATTGGGCTACTCGATTTGGGCTACATTTTTTGTATGTCAACAATTACCTCCAATTTGACAGAATTAATGCTAATTATTAATCGTTGCCATATTCTTTCTTTATATTTTTCGACAATATTTGGAATTCCCAAGAATTTCAATCATTATTTCCGTTTGATTGTCACCTTTCTATAATCTGAAAAGGTGTAACGTTACAAACCCTTATTAATCATTATTTCCGTTTGATTGTAACCCTTCCATAATCTGAAAAGGTACAACGTTGTAAACCCCCATAAACCCAAAAGACAGCCACTTTATCGCACCATTACTTTCACGTCTTCACATCGTGCGTTCTACAAAAGTTACTGTTCATCGTCTTGCTTCTCTACTATGCCTTTCAAGAACCTTCACCAAGAGTATATTTTGTAACAAATGTCGACTCCACAAACCTCTTCTGATAATAGCCTTAGTTTCGAAGATTTCCAAACCTTCCTGCCAAGCCATATATAAACTCGACTTTTCTCTCATTAGCTAACCTAGACCTCAATGAATTCTACCTGGGTCCATCGTAAAAAGACATTGAATCTATCGAAAAAGCGACGGTGGGTCAGTTATTTCCTTGTCCTCAAGATCCTCATTTTCTGAATCCATTTCCTTTAAAACCAATCTGAGAACGAGGTATTCATACTAGCCTAAGTCTGATTCTAATATAAAATTGATTATATCCTGAATATCCATCCATGAAGGAATATATTACGTATCCGACAGTCTAGTTTACTAAAGAATCTACTATAGGCATTAGATATTCATATTTGGGAATGGCTATGTTTAGGTTTCTAAGTTTATGCACACCCTTAATTTACCACTCTTTTTTAGTACTAGCATGATATTGGACAACCACTCGACATATCTGACTGTTCTAATAAAACCTGCTTTTAATAATCGCTCGATTTCTTTCTTAATTTCAATAAGTACATTAGGAGCAAAACGTTTAGGAGGTTGCTTATGAAGTTTAAAATTTGGCTTAGTGGGCAATCTATGTTCCACCAAATTTCTATCTAAACCAGACACATATTCATATTCCCAAGCAAAACAATTCTTATATTCCTTTAATAAAGCGAATAATTTATCACTAACCTCTTGATCAAGTATCGGCAGACGAATGTTGGGCGATCTTCCCCTTCATTGTCAATATTCACTTTAATTAGAGGGTCTCGTGCTTGAGCGTATCCAAGCTTGATGATCCTCATTACTTCATCGTCCATGTTCCTTATAGGCACTTCTTCTTCTAAACAAGCTATCTTATTGATTTCTCGGCCAATACTTTGTTCCAACTCGAACACTGTCAATTTGTTTCCCAATGTTGGAGTTACATCCAAGTCCAATTTCATTACATCAGTATGGCAGCTCTTGTACCTTGATCTGCTGATGTACATCCCCGCAATTTACCTTCTACACAAGCTCTAAGGACGAAACGGTGAGGGACCCTCAAGGTTGGAATTCAAGGTTTTTTTATATAAATATTCTGCAATGATAAAGTGCTTTAACAATTTGTCTTTTGTATTAAGAGTTATTTTTGTTAATAGAATGTTTAGAGTCCGGTTGGTAGGTCTACTTTTTTATATGACTTTTGATAAGTCAATATGAGCTTTTAAGATCCAAAAGTTACTTTTTGCCCCTGTTTGACTCATTTATGAAAGTGCTTATGATAGTTAGAGTAGCTTTTAGAAGAAACTAGTCTATTGTAACTTCCTCTGAAAGTATTTATGGAATAAAAAGTGTTTTAAAAACAAGTTTTCAAATAAAAATTAGGAAAACTCCTCCAAAAGCTCTTCTACAGTAATTAAAAGTAAAAAGTTATATCAAACGGATCCTTAGTTTACTTGAAATGCATATACTATATTTTAAGAGTACTAAATTATTCCTTCACAAAAGACCACAAGTTATAGTCTTAAAACATAATCCGCACATACAGCAATCAAATTTCCCAATATAAAAGCTCGAGTATTCTAATATGGGATTTCCAGCTACGATAACATGCCAAATGCACCCGTAAACATATTTCTCCTCGACTATTTAACATACGCATTTCGTCATTATCAGCAGCAAGATAATTAACCACCACCGCCAGAGCCGTATTTCTTGCCAAAAACGACAACCTGTAATTTGTCGTAACCAGCAAGTACACCAGCCCCCGCAACAGCACGCAGAATGTTGGCTCCAGCTCCCTTGAAGAGTGATTTGGCCCCTTCGTTCTTGACGATCTGTGAAAATGCATCCATGGAGCTCTTATATTTGACAGACTCTCCTGAGGTCATCATCATTCTTCTACGCACCGTGTCAATTGGGTAAGAGGCCAGCCCGGCACCAATTGTGATACCCCATCCCAGTAAGAAACTAGCGAAGAAATTATCCTGTGGTTAACCAAATACAGTAACACTATGTTAGTAGCCTGCAAACTGGCAACTTGGTCTAAAAATGACTACAGCAGCAGGCGAACATAAATGTAATATACTCATCAAACAGAGGAAAAAGAGCGTGCCAAAGCACATAAAATTGGGTCATCCAGCAGGCCAAAGATCGTCATGGCAACAAAGCAGAAATTGACACCGAGAGAACAAGAATTTAGCCAAGTTGACAAGGCCAGCTTTCACTCCATCCCAAAGTCATGAAAGCATGGAAGAAAAGGCAATGCATCTTATGGATGAAATAAAGTGGCAAATATGGGTTGATGGCGTATAACTGGAGGTTTAGAATCAAGAGTTCCAAGTTCAGAAGTCTACCTGCAATGAACCAACCAGAACTACAGGTTTCAACGAATCATACATTCCAAAGTAGAGCCCACGGTAGACAATGATTCCAACACATGAGATATTAAATCCACGGTAAAGCCCAGCCATACCATCAGATTTGAGTGTTTTCTTGTAAACATCAATCAAACCGTTAAACTGCCTTTCACCACCCTTTTTGGCAGCCTTAGCATCATTTGCCAACCGTGTTCTAGCGTAATCAAGAGAATATACAAACAGAAGAGACGAGGCACCAGCAGCACCACCCGATGCCAAGTTTCCTGCAAACCACTTCCAGTAGCCATCCCTATCTTTCTTGAAGTTAAAAAGCCTCTTAAAGTAGTCTTTGAAAGCAAAGTTTAAGGCCTGAAAGCATATGTATTAATTTCAAATGTCAATTAAATGAAAAGCTGATAAACTAGAGAACTATTACCATATTTTAAGCCATGCTTTAATTTCAATAATATCTTATCTCAAAAGCACAAGAACCAGAACAAATTTATCGGATAGAAATAGTTGATATGTTTCCATAAAACATGGATAACCAAACATAATAAAACTGGTCAGGTAAGCATTTGCACGAAGAATTTAAACGCACCCGTTCCCTTGGCGATTAGACCGTATCTTGCATGATATATACTTAACAAAGTGGAAAAATTAAAAGAAAACAATGGAGACGGTAAGGAACGGATAAGATTGTATATTGACCTGGGTGGGGAAGTATCTGATAACGTTTGCAGTGTTACCTCTCCAGAGAGCAATTATTCCTTCATCCTTCATAGTTCGGGCAAAGCAGTCACCAATCCCTTTGTATGGTTCAGACAACCGTCCGGCTTTGATCATTTCATCCTGATTCTGAATCAAGAGCTTAACTCTCTCTATTGGAGCAGCAGCCGTCTTGGAGACGGCAGCAGAAACCCCTCCCATGAGGAAATCCACCATAAAACCTGAAAAGCCTTTGTCCTTTTCAATTGGAGCAGGAATCATAAAAGAAGATAACGGTGATACAGTTCCCAGCCCAGTTCCTTGGTATGATGGCAAGAAATGGCTTTGCAGACCTCCGTTGACATATCTACCAGTCAAATTGGGTAAACCAGGAGTCCTAGAACGCATGTGCGGAGAAATCGGAGAGAGGAGGTAAGATTGTCCATGTATTTTTTGATATACAGACGGATTCTGTGAACCATCTGCCATGTTAGCAAATCAATGTGGTGACCTGCAAAGAAAAATCAAGTTAATAAAAAGAATTTTTTTTTTGAAAGCACTCCTCAACTTCCATTTCATGGATGAGTACAACCATAGTCTTCTCATCCTTAGAACTGCAACTGTAAGCAGGTTGGATTATAAGTAAAATCGTATTCACATATTTCCAAGCAGCTTCTGTAAGACATCCTGTGAGGATATCTAGTTCCATTAAGCAAGTGAAAATTCCATATGATATAGTTTGAACAAGTGTACAGAGATATACTATCAAGATCAAAAGTCTAAATGCATTGAGTCCCAATCCACGAACTCATGAACGCTTCTAGACTACTAGTGACTTCCGCAAGTTTAAAACAAAATAACCACAATATTTTTACCCCTTAACTAGAGATAATTTACCAAGGCAAACGCCATGAATTGTCTAGTGTAAGTAAATAAGGTAGATAGGTAATTGCAAGTACATCTTCATAAACAAATTTCACCACTAAGTAACCATTATTTTTGAAAGTGGCAATTATCTTCCAGCATTTAGTAACTTAATCAGCTATTTCTCGATAAAATGTTCCCAGCTCATTAAGTTTGCAACACAAGATAAAAATAATGATCCATATTCCTATGTTCATTTGCGAACAAATTCAATACTATGACCTTAACAGAGTCTCACATCGTCACTAAGTTAAAGCTTGGCTTGTGAGTACATAAGCACACCTGGCACCCTCCCCTTACAAGACTATCCAATATGCTAAATTCAGTAATATCAAATTACAAATACTTCCAGGGTCGATCCTAGCAGTAGACTTGAGGACGGGTACTTCTAGATCACTGATTCAGCGAAGTCACGGCCATGAATGTCAGTTTATTGTATCATAGTCGAATTACCACCAAGTTAATTACCAGTTCAATTTCAAAAGTCCTTATCAATTCAAAAATCCGGGGTAACCTGAAATCGAGCTCAAGATCACAATATATATAACATCAGTGTCCCTCGAAATTCAATTGCACATTCATAACAAACATACACAATCTAAAAACAGTTCAATAACACGAAACATTAAGGAAATTACTCATTTAATCAAAGAAAAATGATCTGACTAGGATCACCGTTATTATCAGCTAAATCAAAGAAAAATGATCTAACTAGTATCATCGTTATTATCAGCTAAATCGGGCTATAAAAAATATTACAGATCAAATTAAACTAGAATTAATATAAACGTTACATATATCTTCAACCTGAGGAAGGAGTTCCCGATGTACGGTAGGGGGAAGAGAGGGAGGAACTGGAGGAGTGAAAGATTTCTAGCATATCTGAGAGAGGGCATTAGGGTTTTACCGAAATTACTTTTCTGTCCCTGCTATTTCCAGCAAAATTTCCATCCCAACCATTGTCTTGATTGACCACTTCATTTAAAATAAAATAATTTATTTCTCGTATTCATTTTCAGTTACATATTCACGTAATAAAATCCTTCACGTATAAATTCAATTCTTTTTAATTATTATTCAAAACATCATTCTTACACAATAATAACTATCAAATAGGGGCTAAATTTCACATTTGGTCACGATGCAAAGTGTTTTGTTTCTTTTCAATCAAATCGATCACTAAAGTTAGTTTATGATATACGGTTACGGTTATCTCGAACTGCGTTTCGGAAAAAGTAGCCCGGACATTTTCGGGATGCCGCTAATAACCAACGAATGGCAAGTGAAATTGTAGTTTTCTCATGTCATCTGCACTACGAAGAAGAGAGACAGAAATTACTTTTAATTGTTTTTCTACAACTTCAAAATAAGGATTTTTTTCAACTCAATAATTAATTTTCCCTCCCATATACTTGTTCATTAACATTTTTTTGATTATTTTGCCTTTTTGATTTTTATACCAAGTAAGATATTCTCATTCAACACAAAATGATTTCGTACTCGAGAATGTTACTCAAAATCCCTTACTCCTTCCCCTCCAAAACTAGTCGAAAGAAAACAATGAGAAACAACATCAGAAATAGACGTGGCGATGGTGGTTTTGAAAATACCAATACAATATCTAATAGAAAATTGGATTCATTTTTTTAATTAAACATTTCTACATAAAATTTCCATAAATAAGTGTGAAATGAATTTGAACTAAGAATATACGCCTCGAGCCATCGCGTTAGGCCAACGCTAAAAAATAGAACAATGTTATTTATAAACAGTGCTTACTAATTATCGATGATGTGACATGAATAGATTTGTCACCTTAAATCCTACATCTAAGATCACAATTAAGATGATAAATTAATTAAAGCAATCTAAATGCCACATTATTGTTTATGGTAAGTAGTTATGTGAATAGCATTATTTTAGAAAATAAACAAATTTTCTTTTTATATAGTAAGAAAAACCATGCTTTTAAATAGGAATTTTTTGTGCTAAAATTTCCCAAAAAAAAAAAAAAAAAATTAAAAAATCACTTTTAATAAAAACCAAACACATTTTTGTAGGAGAAAAAACCTATTTAATTTATAAATCTAATCTGCCAAACTTATTTTTATCTACACATTTTATAGAATTCACAAGTATTACGCACTTAATTATTAACCAATCTATTTGTAGTTTAAATAAATTTTAATTTATTTCCAAACAAGCAATTAGAATTAACTTTTTAAAGGTCCAAACATGTTTGGTCACATAGTATACTAACATTTAGCCTATGTTTGGCTCATTATTATAAACATTCAAATCATTTTTTATTCACAAATTTCAAGAGACCACAAGCATACCCACTTGTCCACTACTCACATTTCGTTTGAACCATTTACAAACACTTCGCAGACACGCTTGCTAGTATCTTTTGATAAACTTCGAAGCCAAGTTTATAATGTTTGTTCGAACAGAATTAAAGAAGAAAATAAAGCTATTATTCTTGAGAAGTACACAATTTAAGAGAATATTTGGTATACATTATTAACCAAAACTATTTATTTCTTCCATTTTAATCTATTTTACCAAACATGTCATGACATGGTTGTCACTTTCAATGTAGCTTTCTTAGACTCTCCCACAGTCCCCATAGCTTCCCATGAATATATACTTCTGTTTTTGACATTCTCATTCTCATCTTCTTATATACACAACAAATCACAAACAAACAAAAAACAATGAAGTCTGTGGTCCTCAAATATCATCTCAAGCTTTCTACCTCGCATCTCTAAATTCCCATCGCCCCACCACCCAATATCTCCTCCCATTCATCATCTTCTTCAAATCCTTTATTTCCTGCATTATTTTCTCTTGACTGAATCCATGGAAGCTAAAAAGCGGGCAGATTTCAAGCACAAGTCTTTCAAAATAGAGAGGATGAAAAAGCAGGCCTTGGAATCAGCCGACAGCATGGAGGATGATGAGTTTATGTTGCGTGCAACCGAGGATGATAAGAAGAAGAAGGGTGGTGGTGCTTCTGAGGCGGCAAAGAAAGAGTCGAGTTGTGGTGCAAGTTCAATGAGGTGTTGCCAAGCTGAGAAGTGCATGGTGGATCTAACTGATGCTAAGACATACCATCGGCGGCATAGAGTTTGCGAGCACCACGCGAAGGCGGCAGAGGCCATTGTTGCAGGAATCCGCCAGAGGTTTTGTCAGCAATGCAGCAGGTAGAACATCACTATCTAATATCCAATCTTGTTTAACTTGATTAAAAGTGTTCTTATTTTTCTTCTAGTCAACCGTTTTTAAGCACAATCAAACATGTTGACGTTATGATAAATTTAAAAGTTACTTAAATTTATTTTCAAGTAACTTTTTTATTTAGTAGGTAACTTTTTTCTTATAACGAATTACTTCACGTGTTGACATAAAGTAGAGATTTAAGCCACCGTTTGAATACAATTTATAAATTTAATCAAATCAAATATTAATTTTAATTATACATTCATAATTACTACTCATTATTATCCACATATCCCGTGAAATCTAATATTATTCATATTTATAATTTTGCCAAAGAGAGGCATGTAACTTATTTGTTCATGACTTCAACTAACAGAGAAAAAAATATCTCCCCTATTTGGTGTAGGTTTTTTTTTGCAAAATCTGTCAGATTTTAATAGATTTCAGCGAATCGTTTCAATTAAAAAAATATGAACTTTGAATATGAAAGTTTGAGTAGGATGGTAGGATAAGGATACAGACATTTTCTACTTTGACTATGTCGAAATGACCTTGGAATTTTTTTGCATAATTACTATTTTGCCCTTCTCCATTCGCATACAGGTGTTATTGAAAAGGGCAAAATAGACTTTGTCAATGTAACCACTATTGTTGACTTTTCTATCTTTGACTGCGGTCATAGTTATCAACTTTTCTACCATTAAATAAACGAACTTTGCCGTGTACAAGGATTTCGGACATGTAGCATGACAGCAACTTGATATTCCGTCATTGGACAAGGGTCATATATTATAGTGTCGGATTGCCTACGTTGTAACTTGTAAGATCTACTAGTAGTTTAATTCTAAATAAACATCATAGGTTGCACATTATTGGATAAAAAATAAAATTTTTGCTTAAAGTAGCGCAGCCGGACAGGCCCTTAGTAAATCTAAACACGATAATATATAAACAACTAAGGAGGACATGTTAATTCTTGATATGGTTGCTTTTTGATTTTTTTTTTCCTTTGTCTAATGGTTTGGAGTGATCCCCATATAAATGGCTTTGGCCTTTGTGCATTAAAATTTGTTGTTTAAGTTGACCATTATTCCTTTATCATCAACCACTAACTAAATTGTAAAGACACAAGGACAAATTTTTGTATTATTATTGCTGTATTTTATGTCTTAAAAGTTTAAATTATTAAAAATGGGAGAAAATTTTTATAGTTATATGTCTTCTGCCTCCCATACAATGGATCGAGTGGTATTCATAAGTTAGTGACGGCGAAAGTTGAACTCAGATCAACATTTAGCATGTGCCTATTGTTTAGTATATGTGTCATGCACGTGCCTTAGATATACTCCACATTGTCTAACTTTGTCGTTGATGGGAATATGTGTAATACATCCGTGTACACTCATTTGATGGAGAAGTTTTAAATATCCTCGAGTGTCTCTGACATCCCTCGGTTTATAATGAAGTTCAGGTTCATTTGTCAAGTCAGTTCTATAAGGTCATAGGAAGCTCGATATTTTGATTTATCTTTGTCACAATATTGCTTCTAACTCGTAAAGTTAAGCCTTAGAAATACTCGTTAAATGTCTTATGCTCATCCAATGAGGGGTGTAATCCACGAGCACACACTTATTTGACGGATTAAATTTTTATGTCTAGAGTCGTCCCTAGGGTAAACAATATAAACTAATTTGATGAATCAACCAAATGAGGAGAAGAAGAAGTATAACCAATTCTTGAGCGCCAACAAAAACTAGGTTTCTATTGAGAGAATTATGTTTATATTTACAAGAAGACCAAAACTAAGAAGGAAACCTACCAAAGAAAGGCAACAAATAATATTATGCATAAATAAACTAATATTATATAAGGCTAACACCTAGCATCTCCGATCTATAACAAACTTACAGCTAGGAGGCTCACTACTTTTCTTACATCTTCGTCGTGTTGCTTCCAATCCGTCAAACTAAGACAAATCAATTAGAATGCTCGTTCGACCGGCAACTTTTCTATCTCTCTATGTAATGGTTCTGCTGCAGATTTCACGAGGTATCAGAATTTGACGAAGCGAAAAGAAGTTGCCGAAGACGTCTGGCCGGTCACAATGAAAGAAGAAGGAAAAACTCAGTTGATTCTCACTCAACAGAAGGAGGCTCAAGCATGGCAGGAAATCAAATTTGTGGGCAGGTTGATGACAGAGGAAGGATTCAGATAGCAAGCAGTTCAAGAAAATGCTTCTAACTGCAAACACTTTCATGTCAGATAAAAGAGCTGCTCAAAATAATTGCTCCCTCTCTTCTGTCAATGTCAGCATGTTTGTGTCAACTTAGAAGTATCTATCAATAATTGTGTTCAAGAATAAGCCCGCTCGAGTATGTTGTAATGTTTAGTGGGCTGCTGTAGACATGCTATTATCGTATAATGAATAAGATTTTAATAATATTGAATTGTATCTAATCTTCCTTACCCCGATACTCGGCAGAACTCGGTCTATATTTTGTTGATTATATCAAGTGTTGCAATTGAAAAGAACTTGAAGAATTCAATAAATAAAAAAGAACACAAAGGATTACGTGGTTCGGCGCCAGTATGGCAAAACTACATCCACGGGAGAAGAGAGAATACTATATTCACTTATGTTCGAAGTGTTATAATGACACATAAATAATCATATTAAAACAAGGCTGCCTTATTATAGATGAGACAATCACGGAAAGAATATAACAAATTATGGAAACATTCCAATTATCATCAACCAATATTCACCAATTCATGCCACAATATTTTCTTCAATATTAGCAAATATTTTTCAAATCACCAAATACCTCTCTTCTCCAACACTCCCCCTCAAGTTGGTGATAAAATATCGATAGAGCTCAACTTGGACAATATCTCATGAAATTTGACAGTTGATAAGTATTTTGTGAAAATATCAGCCAATTGCTGGCTACTACGAATGAAGGGAGTGCAAATAACCTTGGCTTGGACTTGTTTTTATATAAAATGACAGTCAATTTCAATGTGTTTTGTCCACTCGTGAAATTGAAAAACTGGATTTGAAGCAATATGTATAACAAATTGATTATCACAAAATATCTGGGAGGGTTGTGACGAACCAAATCCAAAATCCTTCAGCAAAGAGCGAAGCCAAATAATTTCACTGACAGTAGAAGCCATGCCCGATAATCGGCTTCAGCACTAGAGCGTGTAACAACGTTCAGCTTTTTACTCCTCCATGTCACCAAATTTTCCCCATTAAAAGTCCAATATCCAGTGGTAGATCTTCTATCAACGACACTACTAGCACAATCTGCTTCTGTATAAGCAGAAATAAGAGAATGATCATTTTTACGCATTCATATACCTCTTCCAGGTGACCCTTTGAGATATTGTAAAATTCGATTAACGGCATCCATATGTGCAACTCGTGGTGAATGCATAAAGCGACTAACAAGGCTGATAGCATATGAGATATCAGTCGAGTAATTGTGAGGTAAATTAGTCTGCCCACCAATCTTTGGAATTAACCCACGTCAAATAATAGATCGCCATCACGTGTTAATTTGGAATTACACTCTATAGGCGTATGAGCTGGCTTAACACCTAATTTTCCAATCTCTTTTGACAAATCCAATACGTATTTTCTTGGTTTAGAAATATGCCCTTTTTTTAATATACAATTTCTAATCCGAGAAAATATTTCAAAATTCTCAAATCCTTAATAGAAAACTGTGTATGAAGATATTTTTTAGCCTTGATATTTTAGCAAGATCATCACCAGTAATAATGATGTCATCAACATAGATTAAAACAATAACAGTACCTTTCAGACTTCTTGTCAAGAAAAAGGAAGAATCAACACTACTCATCTTTAAACCATTCTTGACAAGAACATGACTGAGTTTGACATACCATGTACGAGGTGATTGTTTAAGACCATATATGAATTTTTTTGATCTGCATATGAGATCCCTACGACCCCTCAGCCGTGACCTGGAGGTATACTCATATAAACTTCTTCATCAAGATCACCATGTAAAAAAACATTCTTCACATCCATCTTAAACAATTTCCAATCTTGATTGACGACTAGAGATAAAAGAACACGAAACGTGCTCATTTTGATCGTAGGAGCAAATGTCTCATTGTAATCAACTCCATAAGTTTGGGTGAAGCCTTTTGCAACAAGGCGTACTTTATGTCGTTCAACAGATCCATCACTTCGAAACTTGGTTTTATAAACCCAATGACACCCAACTGTCTTCTTCCTTGGAGGAAGTTTTACAATGGACCAAGTTTTGTTGTCAGCAAGGGCTTGTAACTCTTCCTGCATTGCTCGTCTTCAAATAGGACTAGAATTTGCTTTTCCAAAATTATTCGACTCTTGAGTTGAAGACAACGAAGTTAAAAAGGCTAAATGAGACAATGATACATTGGAGTATGATATATGCGACTGTATAGGATGACTGACAGCTTCATATGTAACAAAGTCCTTTAATTTTTCTGGAGTCTTGGATGTTCGGTTTGACCTTCTAAGAATCTTTTCGGAAGTATCTGGTACAACACTGATATATTTTGGAACACCATGAGCAATTGGCGATAAAGGACTTCCGTGTCCCCATTGTCTTCATCCTGTTCATTTTCTCATGTACCTCTAGTCTGTACTGTGGTTTCAATTTTGCATGTACTTGCAATATCAGAAGAAGATGTTCATATAGTGGGAAGTAGAAACATATCGTTCAAATTCTCCACTTGAGATAAAATCTTGTTCCAACTATGAGCCGAAAAATATGGTACATTCTCAACAAATCTCACATCTCATGATACAAATAGCTTCTGGGACTGAGGATTATAGCATGTATATCCTTTTTTTGTCGAAGAATATCCTAAGAAGACGCACTGAATGGAACAATGATCAAATTTATCATGACGCAAGCTGTGGTGGTACACAACACAACCAAATACTCGAAGGTGAGACACATCAGACTTTCTCCCTTTTAAGACTTCCAATGGTGATTGAAAATGGATTACACGACTTGGAAGTCTATTTATCAAGTACACAGCTGTTAAAACTCCATGTGACCAAAATTTCTTCGGAATATTCATTTGAAGCATGAGAGCTCTTGCAGTCTCCAAAATATGTCAATTTTTCCTTTCGACCACTCCATTTTATTGGGGCGTACCAACACAAGTAGTATGATGCATAATGCCTTCATTGCGAAGAAAGTTAGGAAGGGGACCCTTTGAAATTCAGTTCCATTATCCGAACGAAAAATCTTTATTTTGCTATCAAATTGAGTGGCCACCATGCTATGAAAATCCTTGAAAACAGGGTAAACTTCATTCTTAGATTTCAATAAATAGATTCAAGTAGTACAAGAATAATCATCAATAAACAACACAAAATATTTAAAACCATCATATAAATCAATTCAACATGGGCTTCATAAATCAGAATGGATTAACTCAAAAGGTTTAACAGACATAGATGAAGAATTATTAAATGGTGGATGAACTTGTTTGGAAAATTGACAAACATCACAAACATGTGTCTCAAAAAACATAGATGGAAATAAAAAAGATAATACACGACTAGAGGATGCCCATATCTTTGATGTATGATATGATATTCTAGCATAGTACTATTAAGAGAAGTGACACGGAATGGTTTGAAGAGATAAAGTCCATGTGAGTAGACACATTCACCAATCTTCTTCCCCGAAATTCGATTTCGAAACATAACATTATTAGGAGAAAAAATAACATTGCAATTGAAAGAGTTAGTTATTTTTTTGACAGAAAGAAGTTGAGTTGGAAATGAAGGAATAACAAGTGAATTAGTATTAGGAAGACCAGGAAAAAGATTAATTTTTTCAGACCCACAAACATGAACCGAGGTACCATTAGCAACTGAAACAACATGTTTTGATGAATTTTTTGAGAAACCACTTAAAGATGCTACATCATTTGCCATATGATCAGTGGCACCCGAGTCAAGAATCCAAGTATTCAAATGTTTAGATGTGCACGAAGAGAAGTAAACTTCGAGGTTACCGAGACATGAGTACTGGTAGAATGAGTATATTCTTTCGGACTAGGATGGCTAGGATGACCAAGTTGTTGGAGCATTTGAGTCAATTGATTCAGTGAGATGGTAGTGTCAGCAATAGCAGCAACTTTCCTGCTTCCTCCTTTCATAGTGGATGGCTTAAGATGAGGGTGAATGTCCCAACAACGATTCTTAGACTGTCTTGGCATGTGACATTGATCACATTTTGGAGGTTCCCATCTTCCTTTGTTCTGAAAGCTTTTCCTTTTCTCATCTCTTTTTACAATAAGAGCAGTCGACTCAGATATATGCTTCGGTTCAAAATTTATACTCTTTTTTCGAGTTTCTTCTTGCTGTACAGTTGTGCACACACTAAAGAAGGTTGGCATGGTAGAACTCATAAGGATGTATCTCTTAAGATTCTCATACTTCGGCTTCAAACTACACAACAAAGAAAATATCTTATCTTCTTCAACCCTTTTCAACAAGATTTTTGCATCTGTTGTATATGAGCGATACATGCTCAATTCGTCCCATTTCTTCTTAAGATAACCAAGATTCTCAATGAATGTCTTATCCCCATGCTCGACAGCAGCAATTTCCCGTTTTAACTCAAAGATTCTAGCAGCGTTGTTTTGATTTCCATCAACCGAATTCCACAATTCTTCCACCGAATCTGAAAATGCAAAGATTTCAGCAATATGTACTTCCATTGAATTTAGAAGCCAAGACCTAANTATATATTCATGTAAAATGCACCATTTCATCACATAATCCTTCTCGAGTGCAATGAAAGAGAATATTTTGGTGGGTTTATGTATTTATTCGCCTTTATATTAGATCTTTTTGCCCTAAAGAGAATTTGGCTGGAATGCAGCTATACAATTCAAAGTGGTGTTTTCTTTTATCAAACTAGTATTTATGAATACTAACTAGGTAACAACATGCAGTTTTGTAATAATGCTGTAAAAAAATTTTATGTTATAATAATAATAATAATAACAACAACAAAAACAACAACAACAACATCAGAGAAATTTGAAACATTGTAACTTGTATAATTGCATATGAAGAATTTAATAAAACATATAAGAAAGAACACAAAAAATTACATAGTTCGGAGTTAGTGTGACAAACCTACATCCACGGGAGAAGAGAGAAGACTATATTCACTTATATCCGAAATATTATA